TTTCTTGGTGCTTGATTAGGAAATTTAATGATACCGCTGCCATCACCACACTCGGGACAGTTATTTTTGGTAAAGCGACCAGGGATATAACGGCTACCATTAATGGCACAATTGTGACAATAATCATAATCTTTACTCTGAGAACAGGTGAATTTATCACCGCAGCCAAAGCATTCTTTTTTGATTTGGTAATCCGAGCAAGTAAAACTTTTGCGAATATTTTTTTCAGAAGTAGCATGATGACCAGTCAGTTTCACTTCCTTGCCTTTCCTTAGTTGGGGTGCAATTAGTTTATTATCCCGGTCTTTAACTTTAAAAATTACTGGTAAATCTACTTGTTGTCCTTTTAGTTTGATAAAGGCATAGTGATAGGGTTCTTTGGTATTTTCACCACGCAGTTGGATTTGGGAGAACCAATAATTTTGGAGATAGGAATTTTAAGCTTATTGGATGACTGGGAAGAGGAAAAAGAAAAAGCCAGCAATTAAAATATGGTAACTCTAATAATTACCCTTACTTTGGGAATAATCCTCGGTTTACTCTTAGCTACCTCATCCCTCTGACTAATCAAAGTTAACTGCCCCCAGTGTAAACAGCCCAAACCAATTAAAGAAATCATCCTTTGGCACTGAAAAGAACGAATAATTACCGGTCAATCGTGTCAAAAATGTCAAAGGCCGAAAGCCAAGATTGAAATAATGCTGTAGAAATTATTGTCTGATAAGACCAAATTGAAATATAAAAATTATGAATTTGCAGCAATATGCTAATTATTTACAAGACAAAAACTTATCTCCGAAAACAATCGCTATTTATACTGAGGGTATCCGCCATTTTGGAACCTCTTTTAGCAATTCTCTCACTACCGCTAACGTTATTAACTTTTTCCGGGAAAAGGTGCGAGGATTAGGAGTTAATACCATAATTTCGCGACAAACAACCCTCAAAGCCTATTTCAAATTTAAGAAACTAAAAATCGAATGAGAAAGAATAGCCCGTTTAGTTCCCAAATATCAGCGCAAATTTTTTGCTACTATCAATTATCAAGAATTAGCAAGATTAAAGAGTGTTCGAGTGGAAAAGAGTCTAGAAATTCACCAAAGAAACAACCTAATTTTAGACTTTCTTTTTTATAGTGGTTGCCGAGTGTCAGAATTGGCTCACATTAAGCATTGCGACTGAGAAAGCAATTCCTTAAAGATATTAGGCAAAGGCAATAAGATTCGTTATGTTTTTTTACCAAATTGATTAGCCGGAAAGTTCAAACCTTATAGCACTGCTTATTTGTTTATTACCAGTCAGGGCAATCCAGTTAATAAAGATACTGTCGGCTTAATGCTGAGAAAAAGAACCCAACAGGCTGGTATTACCAAACGGATAACCCCTCACACATTTAGACGAAGTTTTGCCACTATTCTCAATAATAATGGTGCTCGACTAACTACTATTCAAAAACTACTCGGACATTCCCACATTACTACTACAGCTCAATATATTCATAATGACTATGACACTTTATATGCTGATTACAGCAAATTATGAAAACCAACCCCCATTTTAAACCCTTATGAATAAATATCAAGCACTAATCACCAAAATCTACCTCAAAACAACTGACCCTGATTCAGATTGTACCTTTAGTCAGTCCGAATTAAAACTAATAACTGATGTTCTCGAAACCATGCAAGTGTTAGAAATAATTTTGCGAGTCAGTAAAGAAAGGTGAGAAAATCATGACTAACCCCGCCACCCCATTATTTTTATCATGACAAATCAACTGCTGTTCAAAACTAAAAAAGGGCTTTGTCAAATTCCCACCTGCTTCAACCCAAAAAAACAAGAATTAGTGGGTTATGTTTATATTGGAACCGACTGAAAAAAACTGGACAGTTGCGAAGATTGTTATCAAAGATTGAAACTTATTCAGTGAGAAAAAAACCTAGCAAATGGTTGAATTCATGTGCAATGATTTTATTTTTATGATGAAGCCAGGCAAAAATTAGAGGACCAAGTCCAATTAACCAATTATTGTCAAAAGAAAAAACAAAAAAACCATGACTAAATTCCAATTTAATTACTTAACCAATAAACTATCGCGCTTTGACCCAACTAATCCGAAATATTCTTACATTATCCCCGAAGAAAGAACCTTTACCAGCCAGTTTGGTGGTCAGGCTTTTGGCTTAGAACCAGGTAAACCCAATCACTGAATTAATTTTACAGTCAAGACCAATAAAATAACTGCCTTTTATAAAAAGGTCCTCGCTGATGAGCAAATAGTTTACTATAAAAGAGACTTCGCCAAGTCTGATATTATTAGTTTTGAGTTTAGTGAAGAGGATAGAGTGGAAAAAATTAACGGTCAATGGCAATCCAAACCTTTTTAAACTTATGAACGAAATATTAAAATTTTTCACCCAAGGACTGATTATAACTTTGCTTATTGTCCTTGGCTTATTTTTACTGGCCAGGATGAAAAAAATTCTGGCAGGACTATTTATTTTATGATTAATCTTGGCTACGCTAACTTTTCCACTCCTGCTAATTTACGGAATTATTTATTTAGTCCGCAGTATTTTTTAGCCACTAGCGGAAGAACGTCACACTTCCGCTCTTAATTTTTTATCACCACATATGCTCCTAACCAGGCTAAACCTGGAAGGGAGCAAAACACACACACATTTATGACAGATAAGTGATAAATTAGAAGCCCTTTTCGCAAGAGCAAGGGAGAGGCGTCGTAAACAAAGAGTTATGGCGTGGGCCAAATGAAAAACAAGCCCTAGACAGCTTACTGGAAAGCT